TATTATTTATTTTTGTACAAAGATTTTTTCTTACTGCAATTCAGTAGCTACTTGCATTGATAAGTCACATTTTGTCCAACTGAAGTTCAAGTAGAGCACCTTGATTAATATCGATACGGTTTCTTAATACTCCCTTCATAAACAAGCATTGCCTCAGTACCTGTCGACCGATGGAGTCCAGTACCTCTTTAAGGTCAAGAAATATGGCGAGTTGTGGATGTTAATTACAAATGTCTATGTTCAAGAATCTGTTGGATATCTAAGATGTGGTCAATACATTCCCCTTTTGACATGACTGATTATTTCAGGTTTTTTCTCCTTAACAGCACTTAGTTGGCTCATGATTAATGAACCCGGAACTTTTGGTACTATGTTCTTCAAGCTTATCCCCCTGTGGTTGTCACAGAAAGAATTGTCTTCCTTCTTTATTAACCGGGATGATCTTTGGTTTGCAACAGTCATAGTGAACCATCTCAGATTTCCACACATTATCTCTGGCGATGCTTGGCTGTAAAGGAAATGCCGAGAAAATACATTGCACTGATTACGGCACTCTACTCGTACTCATGCAGCCAGGTGAGGGCTTACGGCGAGCTGTCATCTGAAGTGGTGACGACTAGTGGCGTCCGTCAAGGATGCCCATTATCCCTATTTCTATTCAACTTCATCATAGACGTACTAATGGACTTAACCTTAACTCACTTCAGCGACTCAGGGATTGACTTGCTACCAGGGAATAATCTCGTCGACTTAGAATATGCGGACGATATAGTCCTTCTAGGCGAGGACGCTGACAAAATGTAGAGTCTACTGAACACCTTGAGCAACAATCTTCGTATGTTTGGTATGCGATTCGCTCGTGCTGTAAAATGTAAGATGATGGTACAGGATTGGACTACACTGACCCCTAGATTAGAAATAGGAAGTGAAGTGGTAGAGCACGTTGACCACTTCTCTTACTTGGGAAGTACCATCAGCCCCAACGGGTCGATCTCCGACGAAATCTCAGCACTAATACAGAGGGCTAGGTTCGCATATGCCAGTTTACGCCGTCTCTCGCTTAGACATGATATCCGACTATCGACCAAAGGGCGTGTGTAACACATGTCCTAACCTATGTTACGTATGCCTAGTCATCGCCTTCCTCGACGGGAAATGTTAGATGATATAGGGCCAGGCTGGAAAAGAGCTAGCGGCGGTCAAACGAAAACATGGCACCAGTCAATGAAATCCACAACAGTTAGTTTAAGCCACGTAGGAAGATGTAGACTTCCTGACTGGTTGGGGTCCTCGGGACGGTAAAAACCAATGGTTGGAAACAATTGGTGACATGGCTCAGAATCGTTCTCAATGGCTGGTGCAGATGCATCCACTCCTTGTGACTTATGATTTCCAATGAAACTGTTTTGTTCTTCGTTATTACTACTCCCTTGTCTCACACCTCTGTTTACTGTCTATATTATGCATTTCTCCTACTTTCTTCTCTTGCTTTGTCTGCTACTTGGAGTGTGAGGACTTGAACTGCCGCACATATGTGCAAAGTTCTATGTCGAAAACCGACCGACACATTATCTAATATCTCAGTTACCTTAGTCAGCATTTCAACATAACCATTCTTAAACACATCTGAAGTCATACTGTAACGACAGAAGACAAGGGCCAGGCAACAGAATGTTTATTGAGAAAATCAAGAGGAATTTATAGATTTTTATGTACATTTTTGTTAGCGGAGAAGCAGCCTCTTCTGATTGCTTGTTTTCTTGCTGAAGGTTATTCTGTTATTTCTTTGTGACCGTTTCTCAGTAAATCAAGCCATATATCATGAATCATTTTTCCACACGTTAAATCAGCTGTGATTGGCTGGCGATTTTCTCAAGGTTAAGCTTTGTTATTGTTTTCTCATGACCATTGACGTAAATTGTTGTCTACAATTTTCGCTTGCAGCCAGCTCTCACCACAATATCATCAGGTCCTACTGCTTTGTTTCGTTTCAGATTAGAGATAAATCTAGCAGCCTATCTCAATTACAGTTGATGAACTGATTTAGACATCTCATACAATTTTTTTAAATTTTTTAAATTTTTGTTTACAGCTTGATTCCACACAGTACTTTTGGTAGAAGTATGGAATTTTCAGCATGGATATCGGTAGCCCAAATTTTACAGGCCGACCATAGATATCAGGTGTGCGTCGGCAGGGGATCGAACCCCGGACCATGTGGGTGTTGGATGCTGTCAAAGTTTACCGTGGCTGTGTAGGCCAGTTGAATTACTCTTATTGTACTCCTCAAGGAGATGGAGAAATATGACTAATTTAGCTTGGGCATTCGACTTACGGACCTATGGGTCCTAGGTTTGAATCCCAATTTACACACTTCAGTTCAGGCAACAGGGGAGTAACATTATCTTCCACAGAATGAATGAGGTTAATAGCTTGATTGGGGAAAAGTCAATTCCAGTCAACTGAGCCTTAGCTAGCCAACAAGTTCACTCCATTGTTGCTGAATATGGTTATGTTTTAAATTCTTTTGACATTATCAACTTGTACTTAATTGTGGATAAATATTACCCTCCTATGAAAAAAACTCTTTGTGTTATTGTAGGCCATTTGAAATTGCGTGCTTTATCTCCGCCCTATTTTAAATTAAGCACATACATAATGGACATTAAGCTACAGCTGTGATTTTATTTCCTTCATACTAAGTCTATTTTAATTCAAATTGACAATTTGCAATTTACGCAGTTTGACGTGGAATTTCTCCATATTTTTCATTGGAAACCGAAATTATTCAAATCACAAAATATGATAGGTCTGCTTGGTACCATAAATATGGCAGTCAAGAAAGCAAGCATAGATGCCTAATACTGTATTACTACTGATTGGCTCACATGAGTAGTCGAGCACCATCAACCATGGCAACCAACAGTGCTTACTAGTAAGTGTGAGATAATGAATAATCAATAAGCTCGTGTAAAATGGACAGGAACTAGTGGAAAGACGATAAAGTGTTTTTATATAAAATATGTATGAAAAGCAATGTTATTAATAAACAGTAATACAGTGGTAATAAAATGTGGATGATGGGAACAAAAATAATAATAAAAGTATTAATAAAATAAAATAATAATAGTAATAATAGTGAACTTACATAATAAGGGAAAGAAGCAAAATTGTGGTGAGAACTTTACTCTGGCCATGGTAAGGCGAGAGAATGTATGTATCGCTTTTGGATGCAGAGGTCCGGTTTCAGATCTCGAATAGCTAATGCTTACTATTATTATTTTATTTTATTAATACTTTTATTATCATTATTGTTCCCATCATCCACATTTTATTACCACTCTATTACTGTTTATTAATAACATTGCTTTTCATACATATCTTACACAAAAATACTTTATAGCCTTTCCACTAGTTCCTGTCCATTTTACACGAGCTTATTGATTATTCATTATCTCACACTTATTACGTCATGCCAACTTCTGTCTGCTTTCTAACTTACAATTAGTCATCCCTTTTTACACCTTACATTATGTAATACAATTTTCCAAGAACAGTGCTTACTAGTCAGTTTCAAGTGATTTGAACACCAGACGGTCGTTCCGTTTGTTTCAGACTGAACTTGTCAGCGGTGTGTCCGCTTTGACTTAGCCCAGAAAGCCGAATCAGTTCAAACTAACCGAATTCTAATTAACTACTCTGGTGAACTGGTAATACATTGAATGAAATTCGCCATTTGCAATTTACACACTTCGATCTGACTGACTGGCAATCACTACTGTTTTGATACAAGTAGTGTCCAGCTACTAATGGCAATTAATCAGTAGTATATAAGTGTGTGTAGAAAGGTCGGGGGGGGGGAGGTGGGGGTAATAGCTGAAGGGTTTGAGTTTCATTTTAACAATTATATGCTGCTTTTACAAACACATGCGGGTTGGTTTTTTGGGTGAAATGAAGCACTTCTAAGTTGACAATGGGCTTACCTCGGCAATGTAAATGCTCGTCTTGTTAATACGTTTTGTGGGGGGGGGGGGGGGGTATGTTATCACTGAACTACTAACTACCAGTCAGATTACTTGTCTTCATCGGATTCGTATTATTTATCCCTACATAAACCTTCTTTAGTTGGTAGTGATTCTGCGGTAGACTGCTCGCTAACAGCTCATGTCGTTGGGTATAAGAATAAAACTTGTGCACTGTGATGGTAGAGTATAATTCCATTATGGGTAAAATTTGTTTTGATAAAGTCTCACAATGTTTTATACAGTAATGTTTACTGATGACATTTCGAGCACAATTTATTGCTCATAATCATATCATATAGAGGAACTGACTTCACATTGGTGTTGAAAATTCGGGCCATCTTTGTTATGGTGATTACAGTAGATTTCCCGCACTGATTTCAAATCAAGAAGGTGTCTTGCCTTTCTGATTCTGGCTGGCTTTTACATCTGTATTCTTGCGACCTGTAGTTGAAATGATGCTGACCAAATATCACCGCATTGATAGTTATTGATTTGATATCTTCATCACCTTTGGCTTCTCGATGTTCACTTGAAGTCGTGTCTTGACTGTCAGCCTTTTTTGTCGCCTTGTTCGTCTTCTCCTGTTGTTCTTCGAGTTTGTGTGGCATTCAGCATAAGTCGTCCGCAAAGTCCTAGATGTTCTAGAGTCTTCTTGTCAGCTCAACGTATTGGTGTCTGCTCACTACCCACGGTCTAATTCACTATCCAGTCCACCACAATCAGCAATCTCATCAGAGATAGTAAGTATCCTGTCTTACTCCTGTCTTCATTCCAAAAGCTTCACTGAGTTTTCCATTCCAGTACAGGGTAACTGGGTTCTAACTATTCAACTAGAATATTCACTTGATAGGTAGGTGTTTCAATATCACACTAAACCAATACATCAGTCATCTTAACTTACTGTATTTGTTCGTTATTAATTTATTGGTTTTTAATAATTCTATCTGGTTGTTTTGTTTTTGCTAATCATTTTAGGCAATTGATACTTATGAAAATTCAGAACGAAATATCGCCACACTTGACTGTCAAATTAAAGCGCGTAAAGGTAATTCAATTCACTTTTATTTTGCTTAATATTAGTAGGTTAAGTGTTAAAGTGAAATTTAATTGTTGATATTTTCACTGAACTTATTCGAACATAAAAACATTTAAAGTTTGACCACTGATTGATATCACTTACACAAGCATTGAAAACTAGGGAGTACTGAAGAGCTGTTTCATCTTGGTTTGGGACTCTTCATCAGTACGCACCCATCGGGGTTCCAACCCAGGACCACTTCCAGCTACAGGGAAAGTTGTTATATCATCCACCTATTTGGACCCAATCTGATGGTTCAAAAATTTCAACTTCTACCAGCTTGTGATTTTAGCGCACCCACCAACCTTGCAACTGGGAGGTCCTGAATTCGAAACCTGGCGGCGAGTGCTTACTGCTGCTGTTTCATTTTTTTCTGTTTCATAGCTGTTACACTCAAATATTGTAATATGAATGTTTTGGGTTTTCATATTGAGTTGTGCGGATTGCAGATGACAGTCTTGATGCTCGACAACACAATAAGATTACCTGGTTTATCTGAAACCTGTAATGTGCGTATTTGTGCAACACACTTCGGACATTCTAATCACACACACACACACACACGTACTTGTCATACACATTTATGTAGAAGGCAATAAAGGCATGAATTATTACAATACAGATCAGATTGTGCACAGGTCAAGGTCACAAATAATGGGTAGGGGAGTGACACAAAGGTGTGGTAAAAAAGAAAAAAACAAAAATAAATGCGTAATTGACCAAGGCAGGTTTGATGTAATAATAAATAACTTTTGGACACATAAGACAAGTTTGAGCCTTTTTATGGCCAAGGCTTCAACGAATTTAAGTGACCCAACCTTTTTTTATATTTCGTTTAGAGGCATTATTGAAATCAACCTTATGACCCGTCTCTATATTGCTTCGCTTAGTGTGCTTTTCAGATGTGTATAGCCAGTTCTCTTAAGAATTTTTTTTTATTCCTTTACGTTCACTTACTTAACAAATATAGATAGTATAGATAATATATCCAATATATTCTAGGTAATTATAATGTATAGATTTCGTTATAGATTCGACTTTATTTAGAGAATCACTGAAAACCACTAAGCACTGGACAGTTCTAAAGAGGATCCGTAACCGGTGGAGTTCAGCAGATCTGTTGTGGAATGGATGCTCGTCGATAACGTTAGCTGACAAAGTACCATTGTATCATGGTACGACAGAAGTTGGAATTCACTGGTCATTTCATATTCTAACCCACTAGCCTAGTCACCTGAAGGTCCTGGATTTGTCTACTGGTGGAATCACCGATGAGATTAAACTAGAATAAAACAGTTGTCTAGCGCTGTTTGACTTTGAGTAATTCTGTAATTGATGTCGATTGGTGACAGGATCTACAGTGAAATTAATCAATAATCCCTAAAGTACCGACCGTCTAGAAGGGTGATTGTAATCTGCTAAATTGTTGTTGTATTTGTATGTGGGGTTCATAAATAAGTTTGGTTGGCTTTTCTACTTATATTCCTTCGCATTTTGGAGTGGAACATATGGCTTCAAGCTTGAACTTTAAAATTTCAGTAGCAGTTGTGTTTAGTTTTTACGGGGTGGAGTTGCTAACGTCACTCCTAACCTTCTGGATTTAGTTGACCCGAATAAGATAAGAAATCTGGAGAATAGTTCAGCTATAGCAGCACTAAATGCAATTACACACAACCATACTATAGCATAGGATGTGATGACAGTTTTAAAATCCAACTGATGTAACAGGTTGGAGGGAGAGATTGCTAACGGAATCTTTATTTTGAAAAAAAATGGAGAAGATTTGTAACTCATGTGGATGATGTTCAATGAGTTGCGTTCTTTGAGGAGCTGATTGATTTAATTCCAAAGTTTTCGTCGTCCTTCAAGACAACATCGTCAGCTCAGGTTGTTGTTTTTTAAAAGGATAACGAAAGCTTAGCAATTAAGTCAACCCGCTCAGGAAGCTTTATTTATCAAATCAACTGGAAATATGTTCAACAGGAGTAATTCAACACCTGTCCAGCTGGACATCTGGAAAATTCTACTACTCCTACGACAAATAGGAAAGAATAAAGGAAGCTATAAGACGAAATTTTCGAATTTGTGTACTTATAATTGGTGATATGATTATGAAGAATAATGAATTGTGTTTGAACCTTCGTCATCCAGTAAATAATACTGTTTCACTGTGTGATATACTCAATAAACAAATTCATATGGAATTACCTACTACCACAGTGTTCCAGTTTTACACGTATATATTAATTTCGGACTTACCGGTTAAATGAGGTTTTGGAGTGCGTCTGTGACCAGGAATGGAACTCTAAACCACTTGAACCGTAGCTGGTGTGTATTCCTCCACTGAGTCACCAACGCATAAAGCACTATCCACTGATACACTTAGACCTACCTACCTTGTTATATTAACTGAATTGATTAGTTTTATAAATTATATAACCTTGTAATGTGTTAATAATGGTTATTATTACTACTAATCATAAGTGACTTATTGATTTTTCCTCTTTTTCTCCCTTCAACCCACAAATAGCGGAATTATTAAAACAGCAAAATGAAAATGAAGCATTGAAAAAAGAAATCGACTGTTTCTTGAAAGAGATGGTTGATATGTGATCATCTCTGTGACCCCATGTCTGTCTGCCTCTCTCTGTCTCTTTGTGTGTCTTACATTCACATTCCCTACATATCCTACCGATTGATGATCATCCCCACCTACAACAAGAAAGTGAAGATTTGCTATTATCATTATCATTATTATTATTACTACTATTCTTATTATAACTCGCATATATTTATACATAGACATTAATTTGTTTATACCAAAATGCGCGCCTACCACACGACTTGACTTCATTTTCCAACATTTGTCTACTCCCTCCCTCTCCCCCTTTCTCGTTTATGTTACGTTAGTAGATTATTTAACTTCAGGGTTCTTTATTTTGTAATGAAAGGTATTTATTTTAAATTCTAAAAGAAGGGGGGCATGCATCTAATTCTTTTTACTTTAGGAAAGTATATTTTTGTTTCCCGGGGACGGGGTGCTGGGAGAGGGAGTTGGCGTTATTTTTCAATATTTTTTTGTGTGTATGTAAAATTAAGAGAAGATTTTTGTGTTATACACGCGCGCATAACTTTTATTTTCATAGGAACATTTGTTTCTTTCTCGCTTTTTTTTGTCTCTTCTCAACTCTTGTGTTGTATATCCTGTGTGAAAATTACTCACTCACTCCCTCCCCCTTCCGTTTTCTTCTTATTTTATTCCTTGTCACATACTTCGTCTTCAGTTTTAAAGTTTTAAATAAAAAAATGCTTGTTTTGCTTTCTCAGTTATTGAAATGTCATTGTTTTGCAGTGTGTAAAGTTTTCCTATTCTCTAAGCACGATAGGCATGCTTACTTGGGAAGTTGCATCAGCCAGCCCAGCGGGTTGATCGCTGACGAAATTTCAGAACAGATACAAAAGGCTTGTTCGGTATTCGCCAACTTACGCTCTCTCTGGAGTAGATATGATATCCTGCCGGCTGTCAACCGAAGAACGTGTTTACTGATCAGCAGTTCTCTCCGTCGGTATTAGATGGTTGGAGGCAGTCGTCAGGAAGCCTTGGACCTAGGTTTCGTGCTAGTTGGCACTCATCAGCAAGGCGTATCTGCAACCCTGAAGGAACTCATGTCCCTTCTGAGATTCGAACCCGCGCCACCCAGTGCTGCAGTCAGAGACGTTACCACTGAGCTATTCAGGCTCGCGACTGACTTCCTGTAGGACTGTATCGGATATTTTTGATTGCACACTAATCAGTAACTAGTGTAATGTGTCTAGTTCTATCTTCGGTGCAGACTGAATTCTATCAGCCATGCTTGCAATGTTCTCTCCGTCCTCCTTTGTGACTGGCTGTGAGTGAGAGATGGCCATTGAAAGTGGATGACATGAAAAGGCCGGCTATCTGTTTTTGATCGTAGGTGTCTGCGTTCTATCTGCCGTGTTAAGTGGTATAATAGGGTGTCATATTGAGGTTAGGTGAGGTAAGGAGGGGAAATCAATCGATGAGGTTGTGAAGTTACATCAATTGAGATAGTTAGGACATGTGCTACGCATGCATCCCAAGCCATCCATCGCCTTCCTCGACGGTTAATGTTAGCTGACAAAGGATTGGTCAGGTTGGAAAAGAGCCACTAGCGATCAAACCAAAACGTGGCCTGATCAGTCAATAAAATCCACAACAATTAGTTTAAACCTGCCACGTAGGAAGGTGTAAACTTCCTGGTTGGGATCTTTGGGACAGTTGGAGACAATTGGTGGTATGTTTCAAAATCCTTGTCGTCAATGGCTAGCACAGATGCAGCCACTCCTTCTGATTCGTCATATCCGATAAAATTTTATTATTTCATATTGCTATTATTTTTGCCTCATAATTTTGTTAAATATCTCCTCTTGTTTGGTGTGTTACATGGAGGAAGAGTGGTAACCGGAACTGCTGCACACGTGTGCTGAGTTCTATGTTGAAACTAGTCAGTCAGTCAAGCGCGAGTGCTACTGTGTTGAGTAGATTGAGGATGTAGAAGGGTTAGGGGGTAATAATTGTACATACTGAACAAAGAATACTCTTTTCGATAACTTCATCATCAGGCTCTACAGTTATATATAAATTATAGTGAACGAATGAATTAGTGTTATGAACAACAATAATGCTGTTTAAATAACATCGAATCAATAATGTCGATAGATTACAGTTCGACAGCATCAACACAACGATAAAATGAATGTCAGAAAAATTGATGAATTTTTAGTTTCTAGGGCAGTAGTAGTAGCTGGACTTGCTTCTTTTGAACACAGCACTAGTTGTTTGAGGCGAATTGCAATAGCCTCTGCTGTTTGGAGTATGCGGTGCTTCGATAATTTTAGCAATTTATTAGGCACCTGGTAGGTGATAGAGAAGGATTCTTTCACGCTGGCTTTGTGGCCGGTTTGCATCGGATGGTCCAATATTGAACTGTTGGTTATGGTTTTTACTACACCTTTACTTAGCCATAGTGGGAGATGTTCCCGAGCACGAAAAATCAAGTTCCTAGAGCAACGTCTGATATAACTCGCTCCACAAGCGCAGCTGAATTGGTAGATACATGATTCAAAAAATTATGTAAATAAATGAGTATCTGTGTTATTAAAAATACTTACTACAAGATAGAATTTCCAAATGTTGGCAATACATCACGGAAATAGTTTGTTTGTGTTAGTTTCGAATTCATGAATTTCCTTTCAACCTCATCACAACTAAAAACAGATGCTCACAGGGGTAAACAAGTCCTATATTTACGTGTTTATTGAAACGAGTGCTCCTATTGTGTATTAAACTAAACCACATTGTGTATTTGTAAACATAAATTAGCGTAGTTTTTAAACCGTATTGAGTTGTAATATACATGACAACATGTAGAAGTAATACCCTTAAAAAGTTTATTTGAATCATTTGTACTTGGAAATGATTGATGCTATGGATAATCTTCGACCGAAGAAAGCCTTGTCTATGATTGTCGCCAGCTTTCGCCGTCTCTGGCGTAGTCGCGATGTCCGACTATCGACCAAAGGGCGTGTGTACTGCTCAACAGTCCGCTCCGTCCTCCTTTATGGCTGTGAGACCTGGCCATTGAGAGCAGAAGACATGAAAAGATTAGCTGTGTTCGATCATAGGTGTCTGCGTTCTATCTCCCGCACGAAGTGGTATAATAAAGTGAGCAAAATTGAGGTTAGGCGTCGAGTGCTAGGTAAGGCGGGGAAATCAATCGACGAAACGGTGAAATTACTTCGACTGAGATGGTTAAGACATGTGCTACGTATGCCTAGTCATCGCCTTCCTCGACGGGCAATGTTAGCTGATATAGGGCCAGGCTGGAAAAGAGCAAGCGGCGGTCAAACGAAAACATGGCACCAGTCAGTGAAATCTACAAGAGTTAGTCTAAGCCACGTAGGAAGGTGTAGACTTCCTGATTGGTTGGGGTCCTCAGGACGGTAAAAACCAATGGTTGGAAACAATTGGTGACATGGCTCAAAATCGTTCTCAGTGGCGCAGATGCATCCACTCCTTGTGACTTATGATTTCCAATGAAACTGTTTTGTTCTCCGTTATTACTATTCCTTTGTCTCACACCTCTGTTTACTGTTTCCATTATGCATTTCTTCTACTTCCTTCTCTTTCTCTGCGTGCTACATAGATTGTGGCGACTTGAACTGCCGCACATATGTGCAAAGTTCTATGTCGAAAACCGACCGACCGACCTATGATTGTCGAAAGAAAAGTTGATGTCACTTAGTAGACGTTGATTGGCGAACTTTATTTTTGTGATTAATATTCGGTGTCTAAAGTGATAGGGCAACATTCAAGTGTTTTTTCAATTGTAGAAAGTTGGACTATGTATTATGCCAAAGAAAGCTGCTAATTGCACCTCCTTTTTTAACGAATAACAACTTTAACTAAACTTTATGTGACACGTGATCCTCTTGTAAGAATTGGGTTCACAGTGACATAACAATACAGAAGGGAATTAACTGCTAGTTGAAGTCGTAGTTACACGACATGCTGTCGTCAGAATTACTACAACGATTAAAGACATCAACTAATTTGCATTTACAATACTTTGGCTGATATCTGAGTAGCGGCGGAATCCAGAATGTGTGTGAATTTTGTCCTATTTTGAACTCGTCAACTAGATGGACTAAGATAACATAGTTAATCTTCAAACAACATCATCGCCTCCGTACTATAAGCTGCTGTGTCAGCAATAGACTGAGCATTCCGGTTCAACATAATCAGTCGGCGGAAAGTGCAAATTAATCTACAAATAAGTAATTGCAGATATCTGTTGTACAAGAGGTGGTTCTCGTGGCTCAGTGGATAACGCTTTAGCGTTCGATACGATGGGTGCGTGATCTGAGTCTCAGCGGAAAAACTACCTAGAAAATCAAAACAAGTGATTCAGCGAAGAGACCCCATTTTCAATGAATTTATTATCAAGCTGTACAATCGTAGATATATATGGTTTTTTAGAGGTTGACGGTATCGACGTTCGCGAATTTTACGGAGTATACTGACGCAAGATCTTATGCCAACAACTTCTATAGTATTTGTTCGTCGTGTACCAAAGACAAAGCAAAAGACCAGATTTAGTCGTCCAAAGTATGAAATATATTTCGCGACCAAATCGTGAACCGTGTTGAGTGCTTAGCTAGTGATTGTGCATGCATGTGACACGATGGAGTATCAAATGGCAATGATGCTTTACCAGAAGCCTTCAGCTAAACAAATCGACTTAAACAGTGATGGTCAGCATCCGATGTTCAGTGATGATTGCTGTAGTCAATAATTTTGGGGAATTATTTACCGCTACAGTTTTTAAGAAGTTATATCCGATAAGGGAATTGAATCAAAGTTGTGATTACATTAAATGGTAATAATAGTATGAAATGCGATTGATATATTTGTGATAATAATCATAGCTAAATGTCAAATGGCAAAACAATTAATGACATCTATAGAACAGTTCATAGGATGTATAGAATTTGAATGGAGTATGAAATGATAGGATTAATAGGCAGAAAGAATAAAAAATAAAAACGTTTCGTAACATTGCGTGAAATTTGATAACATAGAATATAACGTTGCGAAACGAAACTGATTTCGAATGACAAGTGGAACAAGTGAAATGACAACGGGGGCAATTCAAAGTGAGAATAGTAATTGTAACACTTGATGTATTAAAGGAACGTTAAATTCTATGTTATCAAATTTCACACAATGTTACGAAACGTTTTTATTTTTTATTCTTTCTGCCTATTAATCCTATCATTTCATACCCCATTCAAATTCTATACATCCTATGAACTGTTCTATAGATGTCATTAATTGTTTTGTCACATCACATTGAACTGTCATTATAATCACAAACATTTTAATTGCATTTCATACTATTATTATTTCATGTATTCACACCTTTGATTTAATTCCCTCACCGGATATAACTTCTTAAAATAACCATATATATACGATTGTACAGCTTGATAATAAATTCGTTGAAAATTTGGTGTCTTTGCTGAATCACTTGTTTTGATTTCCTATATGTCCCGATAGGAATTTTCCATAAGTTGATTACGGATTGATATCAGTTAGAGAACCATTGAAAACCAGAGAGTCCTGGACAACTGTTTCATCCTAGTTTGGGAATCATCGACAGTAGGCACCCACTGGGATTCGAACCCAGGACCTTTCAGTTGCAACGCAAGCTCGTGTACCATTCAGCCACTGGGACCCAATTCAATGGAAAATTTTCCATGAATAAACA